TTTCTTGCTTTCTTGCTTTCTCTTCCTTTCTCTCTTTCTTTCCTTCCTTTTCTTCCTTCCTTCCTTCTCTCCCCCCCAATTTTAAGCAAGCTGCCTAAGAACTCTGTGTCTTCCACTTCAAAGGGCCAGTTGTCTTATTTTGATGTGGGCAGATTGAGAAGTAGGCTTTGAAAAGTAGGCTTTTTTTGTTTAATCTTTTCTCCTGGGATAGCTTTCAGAGCAATATATCCAAGTGTCAGTGAGGGGGTTCTGACGAGCACGGATTCCCAGACTCTCAGCAGGATCATTCTCTAACAGAAATATAAAAGTGAAATATTAAAAACCCTGGAACGTGAACTCCATCTGCAGAGTAGCCAGTGTCTTGCCTTGCTTGTACCATGGGAAAAAAAGATCTCCTTGAAAAAAGAGGGAGGAGAAAAAAAGTGCTTTGAGTAAAGGTTTACAGGTTTAGTAGAGCATAGTAACATCCCCTCAAAGAAGTGGGTGTTGCTCTGTGACCCCCCAAAATGCTCCTCCTTTGACTCAGCCGCCAGAACACTCACCCTCCCCAACAACACACCCCCTTTTCACATGCTAACCGAGGTGCCTGTGATTGGCTGAACAATAAACTGGTCACACTTGCTAAAGGCCTGCCATCTTGCACACAATTAGCCAAGACACATTAATCAAACTGGCGGGAATGGGGCTGTGCTGGCCTCCTGCAGTGGGGGAGGGGAGAAGTGTGGGGACCCTTAGCAAGAGTCCACAGGAAGCAGTAATAAAGAAGGCATGCTGGAGGGGATTCTGCTATCAGAAAGTCTAAAAAGGTTAAAGCCCCAATTGATGCCATATCTGGGATGTACTGGGTTTGTGACACACAGGATCCCAGAAGCTTAGAGCAAACTGAATATTGGTCTTGGCTAAAATCTGCCAATGCAGGATGGTGGTGTGAATTTAAAGGGTGGACCCCTGTAGATATTTTTACAAAGTTCCCTCAGCCTTCTTAGCTTCCCCTCCAGCTCCCAGGAAAATGCACTCAGGAGTCCCTCCCATTTCCAGCCTGAAGCACTTCAGACCTACCTGGAGCCAATGAGAATAAAGTATATGTAAGAGGTAGAGAACCATTTAGGATTAATTAAGAGAAAGTATTCACTGGCAAGGTGTTGGTCGTAAACTAAATATTTGGAAAACATCAAAAATAGTTAATTTTGAGAGAGAAAGATAAGTTAACATTTGTACTTTCACTAGTAATATCTTCTGACTTTTCCAAATTCCTTTTAAATAGCTTTCCCAATGGCAATTTACAGCCAATAAGATCATACCTTAGAGACCAGTTTGCTACAGAATCGTGTAAGGCTTTTAAGAGAATCAACTAAATATTTAGACATTTCTCAGCTAAAGTAAACAGAGGCCTCACTCCTCTGGAGGTTGTCCAGTCACCATCTCATTAGATGCAAAGATCCTGTGATAAAGAAAGA